GCCCAGGGCTCGGGACACCCCGAACAGCACCGTGTAATAATTCATCTCCTTCATCCCGTAGTACTGTGGGGGGAGAGGGGAGTCAGGGCAGAGAGGGGGGAACCAGGAGCCCTCCACGTGCCCAGGCCAGGGAACACGGAGAGATGGGACGGGCAGACAGGCAGAGCGACAGACTGACAGGGAGAGGGACACACAGCTCCCCGGGCCCCCAGGCTCACCTGCAGTAGGACCCCACTGTGGGCATCCACGTTGGGCCAGGGGTTCTTGGCCTTGCCCTGCTCCAGCAGCACGTTGGGGACGATCTTGTAGAGCTGAGCCACGAGCTTGAACAGGGGGTCCTTGGGCAGGTGCTTGAGGGCGAATTCCCGCTGGCAGGTGTAGCGGGGGTCCGTCTTCCGCAGCACCGCGTGCCCGTATCCCGGCACCACCTGCAAGGACGGGGCTCAGAGCCCAGCAACTGCCCCGCAGCACAGCCCCTGGACCCCCAGCACGGCCCTCAGACCCTCAGCTCAGCACCTGGCCCGGCCCCTGGCTCACCCTGCCCGAGTTGAGCGTGTTCCAGATGAAATCACGCAGCTTCTCATCTGACACCTCCTTGCCCAGCTCCTTCTGAAGGTCAGTCAGCCAGAGCAGCACCTCCTGCAGGAACGGCCCGAGTGAGGCCAGTGGGGCACAGAGAGACAGACAGCGAGAGGGACAGAGGGACAGGGAGAGGGGCCCACCTGGTTGGCGAGGCCGTGCAGGGGCCCGGCCAGCCCGTTCATGGCGGCGGCGAAGGCGAGGTACGGGTCAGACAAGGCGCTGCCGACCAGGTGACTGGTGTGGGCACTCACGTTCCCTCCCTCGTGGTCACTGCATGGGCGAGGGGGGGCATCAGGACTCCCCCATCCTCACCAAGTACCCTCCAAGGCATTCTGGGCGGGCCACAGCGTTCCCAGCCTCCTACAGCCCCACCCCAGTGGCCCTTGCTGTGTTCCCAGTGCCGCCCCCGGAGCGGCCCAGGCATGTCCCGGGAGCCGGTCCTGTCCCTGCCCCGGGGCTGGGAGCGGGGCCAAGTCCCCCCCTGCTCCAGGTGCCGCCGCTGCCTCCCTACCTGTGGATGGTGAGGTAGAGCCTCATCAGCTCGACGAACTGGGGGTCAGTGTAGCCCAGCATGTTGGTGAAGTTGTGGGACCAGTCGAGGTTGGGGTCGATGGCCCCGATGCCGCTGCCCTCCCGGTACAGGTTGCGGTAGATCTTGGCGGCGACGCACGGCAGCTTCGCAATCAGGTCCATGGCGTCCTCGTACACAAACTGGCGCCGGAGGGGTGAGAGGGGGCAGCTGCCCTCCCCCCCAGCCCCCTGCCCCCAAACCTGCCCCCAAACCCGCCCCGCACGGCCGGGGGCCCCCCCGTACCTCCCAGTACTTGGCGCGGTGGATGCCCTCGGAGTAGGCGCGGGCGAACTTGCTCTCGCTGTTGAGGGCGGTGACGGCCGCGCTCAGCTGGGACATGGGGTGCAGGTTGGTGGGGAAGTTGTCCAGCATGGTCACCACGTGGGAGGGCAGAGCAGCGCGCCGGGCCCACTCCTTGGACAGCCAGCTCACCTGCGGAGGAGGGGGGGTCACGGGGGCTCGGCCGAGGGGCTGGGGGCTGCCAGACCCCCGCCAGCCCCCTTCTTACCTGCTCCTGGGTGGGGATGTCTCCTGTCACCAGCAGCCAGAAGAGCCCCTCAGGCAGAGGCTCCTCTCCCCCTGCGGCTTTGGGCAGCTTCTTCTGGCACTCGGGGATGCTGTACCCACGGAAGCGGATGCCCTGCGGAGCCCGGCACGAGCGTCAGCCCAGCAGGGCCAGTGCCGGGGTGGGATGGGGTGGGATGGGGTCCTACCTCGTCAGGATCCAGCACAGAGGTCTCATAGATCAGTCCCTTCATGCCCCTCATCCCGCCATAAACCTGGAACGGGGAGCGAGGCCACAGTGAGGGGCTGTGGCACAGCCCGGTGTCCCCCCGTGCCCCCCGTGCCCCCCACTCACCATGTCCACCGTGATCTGCCCGATGGCCGTGCTGCCGTGCTGCTGCCGGAAGCTCTTGATCTTCGCCTGCTCCTTGGGGATCATGGTGGCCAGGACATCTTTGAGGTTCTGGGGAGAAGGGAGCAGGCCGTGAGCTGGGGGCCGAGCACAGGACAGGGGGTGACAGGAGAGAGGGTGACAGGAGAGGGCTTCACAGAGCGGGGCCCCCCTTACCGTGGCAGCGCTGGCGTGGCGGGCGGCCAAGAGGACACACGGCGCGTTCTGTGGAAGAGCAGACACAGAGACCCCCGTGTTAGCAGAGCAGAGCCCCCCGTGCCCCCCGGCTGCCCCGTTTTGGGGGGTGCAGCTGTACATGGAGCCCCCAGCTCCGGCTCTGTGACAGGAGCCCCGTGACCCCGTGAGATCCCGGCTCCCAGGGGCCGTGCCCGGCGGCCGGAGCCGCTTCCCTCGCCCACACGGATCAGGGCCGGGGTGAGGGATCAGGGCCGGGTGAGCCGGGGCAGCGCAGCCCCCCCCCCACATTCCCATCACGCACAACGGCAGCCGGACCCAGACCCGGAGCCGGCACAGGGAACGCGGCTGCACTTCCCTTCCTGGAGCCGAGCACGGCAGCCCTGGCACACGGCAGCCCTGGCACAGCCGGAGCCCAGCCCGGCCAGGCCGCGGTTTTCCTGTGCCGGGGAATCCGAACTTTGTTCCTCGCCCACGCGTGGGAACCGTGGGAACCGCGGGGATTCCGGCCGGGAACACCCTGGGAACACCCCGGGCCTGGCAGCGCCCTGCCCTCGGCAAAGGGGCAAAGGGGGACTGGGGGACACCGGGGGTCGCCGTGCCGGGGAGGGGGGGGTCACTCCCACAGGGACACCCCGATCCTCCCGGGGGGAGCTGCGGCAGCGCCTGCGGCAGAGCCAGAACATGACTCGGTTTTTCCACTGGCTGCCGGGAGGGGAGGACGCGGGGGGGGCGCGGGGGGGTCACCGCAGCGAACCCCCGGCGTGGGCCCCCCCCGCACCCCCGGCGCGGGACCCCAACACCCCCAAGTGTGGCCGTGGCGGGCGACAGGGCCGTGTCCCCCCCGCAACAGGCGGCTCCGGGAAGGGAAAATGCCGGAGGAGGAACAATGGAGGCGGCTCCGGGAAGCCCAAGGTCAAGGCGGCCGCTGTCGCCGCCGCGGGGGCCCCGTGTCACCCCCAGTGTCACCCCCCGTGTCACCCCCCGTGCCACCCCGGTGCCACCGCGCTGCGGGGCTCCCGCGGCTCGTCCCGCTGTCACCGGCTCAAGGTCACACGTGCTGGCGGTGACACCGGGCACCGGCCGGGGGTGGGGGGCACCGGGACCCTCGGGGGCCCCGGCGCGGTCGGGGGGTGCGGGGGCTCCCCGGCCCGAGGGTGCGGGGTCGGGCCGCGGGGAGGAGGAGGAGGCGAAGGGTCGGGATCGGGGCTCAGCCCGGCGGGGCGGCCCCCGCGGGGGTGGGGGGGGAGCGGGGCCAAGTGGGGCATCAAAACACGGCGGGCCGGGCCCCTGCTCCCAAAATATCGCCCGGTCGATAGAGACACCGCAGAGCCCGTTATGAAACGCCGGGGCCGCGGCCAAGGCAAACAGCTCGGGGGGGCCGGGGCCGCCCCAGCCCGGTACCGGCGCTCGGCCCCCCCGGGGGTCCCCTCGCGGTGACCCCGTTGTCCTCTACGGCACCGGGACGCCGGGGGAGGCCGGAGGGGGGGCGGTGGAGGGGGGTCCTCGCCCCCCACTCCCCGCTGCCGGTGCCGCCGGGCGGGACCCCCTCGGGGGCCGGTGCTGCAGCGCAGCCGTACAACGGAGGAGCGGCGGGGCCGGAGCCCCCAGCGGGGGCTGCCCCAGGGCGAGGACCCCCCGACGGGGCTGCAGCAGCGGCGGAGCCCCCGAAACAGCGTTCGGGCCCGGAGCCCCCCGATTCCTCGCCGGCTCCGACAGGGCCGCGGCGCGGTCACTCCCAGCCGAGCCGGTGCCCACCACGTGCCGCTGCGGCCCTGCGCCCCCCGGTCCCGTCCCCCCCCCGCCGCCACCGCGCGGCCCCTTTAAGGCAGCGCCCCCCACATCGCCCCTTTAAGAACCGAACCCCCCCTTACCCCCCCCCTGCGGCGTCGCCCCTTTAAGGCGCGGCGAGGCCGGGCCGGGCGCTCTCACCTTGGGCCCGCGGAGGCGCGCGGCCGCCCGGCTGCCGGCGGCGAGGAGCGTCATGGCGGCACCGGGACGGGACAGGCCGGGACGGAGCGGGAACGGGCGGGAGCGGGACCGGGAGCGGGGCGGGAGCGGGGCCGGAGCGGCGGCGGCGGCCGGGGGTCCTCAGCGCGCGGGCGGGGCGCGGCGCGGCGCTGATCATTAGCATAACCCCGCCCTCCTCGTGGCAGAGCCGCTCGCTATTGGCCGCGCCGCGCGCCGCGGGGCGGGGATAGGCAAATGAGGCGGCGGGGGCCGCGGGCTATAGGTGGCCGCCGCGTTCGCCTGATTCAGGACCAAGGGTGGGGTGAGGCGCCGCCCGCCCCCTCTGTCGCGACGTCACCGGCCGCAGTGCGTGACGTCATGCCCTGTGTCATCCTCACGGTGTCTCGGTGTGGCTCGGCTGCGGTGCCGGGGCAGCCCCGTGAGGTCACCGGGCATCCGGCCATGTGCTGTGAGGTCATCAAGGCCATGACGTCATCCCACACCCGGCCACAGTGGCCTGTAGGTTGCAGGGCCCTGGCTCAGCAGTGACCTCGGGGGGTGGCGTGTGGCCAGCGTTGCCCCGAGTGGCCCCGGTGCAATCAACGGGTGACATGAGGTGACAAAGGGTGACATGAAACCAGGGGCTGACCAGAATCACCTGAGCAATGTCCCCACCCCAAGGCTGAGCCACAGCAGGTGGACACTGACCACAAGGGAGCTCGAGTCACCTGGGGCACTTGGGGACACTAAGGTGCCACCGGTGTCCCCACGCCCCCCACCCCGCCCCACACACACCAGAGCGAGACCCTCGGGCGGGCCCACGGCCCCTTTATTGCCTGCAGCAGGGACGGGGGTCCCCAAGCCCCCCGCCCCAAGGGGGGCCGAGCCCCGGTGTCTCCCCCGCGCCCCCCGGCAGCGAGGCAGGAATGTCCCTGAAAATGTCCTGGCGGCAGTGAGGACACGGCCTCACCCCACGGCCACCCCGGGGAACAAACAGGACGGGAGCTCCGGACGGGGTGAGGCAGCACCGGCTCCAGCGCCGTGGGTTTCCCTGGCAGGTCCGTCCGTCCTGGTGGGGATGAGGCACACGGGGACATCCCGGTGGATCCCGGTGCTGTCCCGGTCCCGGCGAGGCCACCGGGCAGCGTGGTCCAGAGGCAGCTGGGGCGTCACAGCTCGTCGTGTGGGATGTGGAGCGCGTGGTCACACAGGTCTGCGGGGACAAGGGGCAGCACTCAGGGCACGGTGGGACCCCGGGGGAGCCCCAGGACAGGGGGGAGACCGGTGGAATCCTCGGGAGGCACCGGAGCCCTGCGGGACCCCCCGTGGTGCCACATCCCACCACGCCCCAGTGCCCGTCCCAGCCGTGACCTGAGCTGGAGCCACCTGCACTTCCCTGGCTTTGCCCTGCGGTTAATGACCAACTTGGATGTTTGGGCAGCACTGGCCCCTCCCCACCCCGGCCCCCGGACACAGGATGAGCCACAGGAGCAGCTGGAAAGACCCCCAGGACACCCTGGGAAGGAGCATTTCCCTCATGCCTGTGCCAGGTACAAAGGGACCCACCCTGGCCCAGCTCTGGGGGCCACATTCAGCACTGGAAAGACCCAGAGGTCATGGTGTTCCCTGACCCAGGTGTCTGTGAGCTGGAAATAGCCCCCGGGACGGGAGATGGTGCCATGGGCTGTGCCAGGAGAGACCATGGAGCCACAGAGCAGCTGCCCTGGCTCGGCCCCAGCACCCAAAAAAAGCTCCAGCAGCAGCAGGGTCTGGGCACTGGGCTGGCAGTAGCACCTCAGCACTGGGATTTTGGGAAGAACCTGCAGCTCCTCCTGTCCCAACCCTGACAGAGCAGCCACGACCCCCAGAACAGCAGAGACTCCCCTGGCTCACCCGTCCTCTTGCTGCAGAGCCGGTCCTTGACATTTTCAGCCTCGTGGGAGAGAAACTCAATGAGCTCATCCTCGTATTCCTCAGCGATGCTCTCGCACTGCAACGGGAACCACGGCGGTCACGGGACACCAAGGGACACCGAGAGAGCCCCGGGGAGCCCAGGGGGAACCGGTGACACCAACACACCCCCGGAGAGCCCCTCTCCCAGCAAATGCCACGAGGGCCCCCCCACACACCGCGAACTTCAGGCTGGAAGTCACGTCCCCGTCGAACTTGACCCCAGAGAGGTTCATCTTGGTGCCGTCGTGGGAGATCACCCGCACGTAGCTCTTCCTGTGCGTGGCCTGGTCCGTTTTCTCCCCGTACTCCTTCATCTTCTCGCACACCCGCTCCAGCAGCTCCGTCAGATGCGCCTCCGAGCGCGCGTACGGCACCTGCGGCCGCCGGGGAGGGTCAGTGGGGCCGAGGCAGGACAAGGGAGCTCCGGGAGCGCCGGGAGACGCCTCCTCACCTCCACGACCGACTGGCTGCCGTCGGGGTTGATGCGGAACGAGCCCATCTGGATGGTTTTCCTGGGGTCCACCTGGGAGATCTCCCACTCCAGCTCATCCACCAGTGCCCGGCACGCTGAGGGGGGCACAGGGGTCAGGGGGGTCCCAGCTCGGACACACATGGAGCCACTGGGAGGGACTGGTGCAGACTGGGAGGGGTGGGCGAGGAGGGGTCTGCAAGAAGACTCTGGGCCTGTCCCCAAGCAGAGGGAGTGCAGCCACGGGATGAACAGATCACAGTGGTCCCCCCGGCCCTGACTCCCATCACCTCCTGTCCCCCTGGTCCCCCCCTGTCCCTCCCTGTCCCCTCGTCTCCCCTTGTCCCCCCACCTCCGCAGTGCAGGTCCTGGCTCCGGCGGGCTCCGGCCGCGGGCACCAGCGATGCCAAGGCCACGGTCAGGCAGAGCACGGCCGGGATCCGGCCCCTCATCCTCGCGGATCCGCTGCGGGCGACCTGCGGGCAGGTGCAGCTCCAGCGCCCGTGGCACCGGTGTCCCCACACCGTGTCCCCCCGGGACCCCCAGCCCCCGCAGAGCCCCGGGCACCGCAGGGCTTCATTCCCCTCCCTGAGCCCTCCAAACCCCGTCCTCTGCAGGGTCTTCCTGTGCCCCTGGACAGCAAACAGACCCCTTCCCTATAGGGCTGAGCCCAGAGCCCCTATAGAACCCCCTCTCCTATAGGGCTGAGCCCAGAGCCCCTATAGAACCCCCTCTCCTATAGGGCTGAGCCCAGAGCCCCTATAGAGGCCTCTCCCCTCTGGGCCAAGCCCAGACCCCCCTACAGAGCCCGCTCCCCTATAGAACAGAGCCCAGAGACCCCACAGGGTCGAGTTCCACGGAGCCCCCTCCCCTCCGGGATCACCCCCACAGCTCCCTACGGAGCCCCTTCACCCCCGGGGCCGAGCCCAGCGCCGGGCCGAGCCCCCCGTCCCGACCCCCGGGACCGCCCGAGCCCCCCGTACCCGCCGCTCTCCCGTCCCGCTCCGTCCCCCCGCCCCGATCGGCTGCCCCGGGGCTGCCCGCGGCGCAGCCCGTCCCGGCACTGCCCCCCGCCCGCCCCGCCGCGGGGCACGGCCGCTCGGGGCGGGCGGCGGCCGAGCCGGACTGTGCGGCGGAGCCGGTCGGAGCGGGCGGGGCGGCGGCTCGGTGGGCGGCGGGGCCGTCCCGCGCGCAGGCAGCGCCGCGGGCAGCCCGGGCCGGCTCCGAGGCCCCGCCGTTGCCAGGGCCCGGCCGCGTGGCGCTCGGCCCCGAGGGGGCGGGGCTCGCGATGACTCCGCCCACGGGACCGCCCCGGCCACGCCCCCAGCCCCCGTACCGGCGGTGCTGGCGGAGCCCCGTCCGTCCCGCCGTGACCCCGGGGCCGGGGCGAGCCCCGTCCGTCCCACCGTGACCCCGGGGCCGGGGCGAGCCCCGGCCGTCCTGCCGTACCCCCAATCTGAGCCCCGGTGTGTCCTGCCGTGTGCCCGGTGCCAGCCCGGGCTCCTCTGCGTCCTGTCCCTGGTCCCGGTCGTTCCTGCCCTGCCCCGGTCCCGGTCCGGTTCCTCTGTGCCCTGTCCCAGCCCCAGCCCCGGCACCACCGTGTCTTCGGTCCTGGTCTGAGCCCGAGTCCTTCCTGCCGTGCCCCGGTGCCAGCCCCGGCTCCCCCGCCCCGTGTGGCCGGTGCCGATCCCCGGAGCCAAGGAGGACTCAAGGCGCGGGTGTCCGAGGTGCTTTATGAGGGCGCCCGGGCCGGCGGGCGAGGGATGGGGGGGCGGGCAGGGATTCCCAGTACCGGCAGGGAAAGGGAGTCCCGGGGCTCCGGGCCCCGGGGGAGGCCCGGGGGGATCGGGCAGGGTCGGGGACAGCCCCGACCCCGCTGCTGGTTCCAGTTCCACACGTATTTATCCGCCTGCCCCGAGGCTGCTCCTCGCAGGGGCTCCGGTCACAGGGCGAGCACGGAGGGGAACACGGCCCCATCTGCGGGGACAGAGGGGGTCAGGGGGCGCGGGGAGGGGGCGCGGGGAGGGGGAATGGGGGGGCCTTACGCTTGGGGCTGCTCTGGCTGTCGGGCTCGGGCACCTTCCAGTCCAGCTTTCGGCCCTTCTCGTAGAGCCCCTTGAGCACCTTCCGGAACTCCTCGGGCTCCGAGCCCTGCGGGCTCAGCTCCAGGTACTTGCGGTAGAGCCGCAGCGCCGTCTGTGCGTCCTCGATGCTGTCGTGGGTTTCTCCCTGGATCTTCAGGTCTGGGGGGAGATCCCTCGGTCAGGGAGAGGCCTGGTGGGGACCCCCGGGGGGGTTTATGCCCCTGCTCCCGCCCCTCCCGGATCCAGGAGTTTGGCCACTGACCCAGGAAGTACCAGGCGAGGAAGCGCAGGGAGATCATCCTCTTCCTCGGGATGTGGAACAGGTACACGGTGTCGATCACCTGGTCCTTGGGCACCTGGAGAGCAGAGAGGGTCCTGCTGCCAGGGCAGGGGGGCTGCCGCGGAGGGGAGGGTTTGCACAGCTCCTGCCCACACCCAGGGGAGGGAGGGGGCTCAGTGCTGTCACCATCAGGTTGATGACACGGAAGTCCTTCTGCAGCCCGTGGCCCACAAACTTGACGCCCACGTCGATGAGGAAACGCAGCTTCAGGTAAGTGGATTTGAGGGTGGTCAAGTGCTTGGAGGAGATCTTGGCATCCAGGTCTCCCGGCTTGATCCCGGAGTACTGGGTCAGGTAATCCACCACCTGCAGAGACCAGGGCCTGTGGAGGTGGGCTGGGAGGGCTGAGGGGCTTAACCCCCTCCCCAATTCGCCTGCCAGCAGCCTGGGCAGGGGGCTATCACTGCAGGTGCCCCTCCATGGAGAGGGACAACAGAGCACACAGGTGTCCAGGTGAGGTCACCACGGGGGACACAGGTGTCCATGGGGAGCACCCAGGTGTCCATGGGGAGCACCCATGGTCTGTCACCATGTCTGTCACCAGGTGTCCAGCTGAGGTGACCTGTCACCAGTACAGTGGGTGCCCATCCTCCCTGGGGGTCTGGGGAGCTGCGTGAGGCCAGGTGGGTGCCCCGTACCTGCTCCTGGGTGGAGATGTAGTCATCAATGAAGGGGACCCCCTCGTTGGGGCCCTGCCCACGCACGCAGGTGATCCGGGCCACCGACATCTGGCTGGGCTTGATGGTGGATTTGGTGCCATCGCTGCGCAGCTCGGCCTCCTCCTGAGACAGGGGACAGGGGAGGTGGTGACCCACCCTCCCCAGCCCCAGAATCACAGAATATCTGGAATGGGAAGGGACCCACAAGGATCGTCGAGCCCAACGGCTGGCCCTGCACAGGCCCATCCCCAACAGTCACACCATGTGCCTGAGAGGACCATCCAAATGCTCCTGGAGCTCTGGCAGCCTTGGGGCTGTGCCCGCTGCCCTGGGGAGCCTGTTCAGTGCCCAGCCACCCTCTGGGGGAAGAACCTTTTCCTGAGATCCAACCTAAACCTCCCCTGACACAACTTCAGGCCGTTCCCACGGGTCCTGTCACTGGTGACCACAGAGAAGAAATCAGTGCCTGCCCTTCCACAGCCCCTCACAGGGAAGCTGCACACCCTGATGAGCCTCCCCTCGCTGAACAGACCAAGCACCCCCTCAGCCGCTCCTCCTACAGCCCCTGAGGGGCTGCCCTTGTGCCCCAGCCCCCCCCAGCCCCCGCCCCAGGGACCCCCGACCTCGTTCAGCGTGACGAACTCCGCGTCCAGCCCCACCAGGTCTCCCGCCTGGGGCATCTCGCTCAGCATGAGGGGGATGAAGGTGGCGTGGCACTTGCGCTGCTTGCGAGCCAGCGAGGCCTCTGCCAGCAGCACACTGGCCTCGATGGGGTTCTTGACTGCAGGGAAAGGGGAAGGAGCTCAGTGGGGAGCCGGCGGCGCCGGCCCCGCAGCCGCCCCCACCGCAGCCACTCACTGACGAGGTTGTACTTGGCGTTGAGGTTCCTCCGGGCGTAGTAGAGGATGGCTGGCACCTTCCAGCTCATGTCGAACTGCACGGCCTCACACTGCAGGGGAGGGGACAGTGCGGGGCAGCCCCGGGGCCTCCACGGGGTCCCCAAAGGTGCGGTGTCACCTCAGAACTCACCTTGTCCACGGGCTCGATGAGGAAGTCGTTGAAGAGGTACCACTGCTGGTGTGTGACTCCCTGTGGGGAGAGGCACGGGCACGGCCATGAGGGCCCCCCCAGCCAAGTGCAGTGACTCCTCTGCCCAGTTACCAGGGAAAGAGGGGTGTGACAGTGCCATGTGGGAACCCCCGCCCTTCCTGGGACACCGTGGGGAAATCCCTGCTGCCCTGGGTGGTGACAGTGTACATGAAGTGTTCGGGCTGGACAGGCTCTGGGCTCTGCCCAGCTCCTGACCAAAACTCCAGGGAGATGCAAGAGATAAGAGACAGGGATGGAGCCTTGACACACTCTGGGAACTCCTGGCTTGGGCATCTCCACCAGACAACAGGACTGCCCAGACCAGCCCTGTCCTTGGGAGGGGAGATGACGTCCCTGCCCTTACCTGGAAGTACAAGGAAAGCTGGCACCGTGCCCGTGGCCAGGAGGAACCAGCCTGAGTGTGTGTGGGAAGAGGGTTTCTTCAGCCCTTCCCTCCCTGTGAGGGGCCCAAGCAGCTCTTTGCTGTTCAGGGCTGCCTGGCACGTTCAGCCAAACACTCAACACTTGACTAAGAGCCCAGAATGGGCCCGATGCCCTGGGCAGCAGGACCCCTCGGGATGGCTCTGGGGAGCCGGCAGGTGATGCAGTCGTGGGGGTCCCGCAGGGTCTCACCTCCTTCCGCTGGTGGTAGGTCTCTCCCACTTTGATGTGCCCCACCAGGCTGCCCCCCGTGCGGGAATCCAGGATGTGGACGACGGTGGCCATGAGATCGTAGATGTACACGGACTCGGGGTCATCTGTCGGGCTCAGCTGCGGGAGGAACCGGCCCGGGGAAGTGACTGAGTCCCCTCCAACCCAAACCCCGAACTTGGATGCGCTGTCACCGCCAGCCCCGAGGTTTTCTTGCTCCCCCGAGGTGTCTCCGAGAGATCCTCGTCATCTCTCGGCCACGGGCTCGGCGGAAAGCGGTTCTGAGGCAGCTCTGCTGCCACAGCCCCGTGAGAACACGACCACGGAGCCCCACAAGGAGCTTGTCAGCCTTTACCTCATCGGTCTCGCTCCAGTTGCTCACGTCAAGCTCTTTGCTCTTGGTCAGCCTCATCTTGATGGCGTGAGGGATCCAAATGTTCTTCAGTTCCTCCACAGAAGCATACGAGTGCCCCATCTCGGGGTTCCCCAGATCCTTCCTGCACAGACAATCATGGAAAGCTGAGGCAGAGGGAGACATAGGATGTCATCCTGGCCAACTTCTTCAGGGCAGGATCCCCACCCACCCACTCCCCAGCTTATTCCTAAACCTCCTGGGGGAGCTGCCTGGAGCAGGACCGTGGCAGAGGTGCTCAGCCAATGTCAGCCACCAAAGGCCAACGTGCGTTTGGGGCTTTTGTCATTTAGAAAAGGGGAACGAGGATGGGGGGCTCAGAAAGGGATCACCAGGTGGGTCACAAAGGTGTCTGAAGGGGATGTGGTGCAGCCTCAGAGCAGAACAGAGACTGTTCCAGTTCAGAGCCCCCAAGGAGCTACACACAGGCAGGTTATCAAATTATCATTATTAAATGAGAAATGGCCCAGAGAACCACCCAGGAGGTGTCACTGCTCAGAGCCACCACTCCAGGAACAGAATCACAGAATCTCTGAGGTTGGAAAAGACCTCCAAGACCATCGAGTCCAACCTGTGCCCGATCCCCACCTCGTGACCCAGCCCAGAGCACTGAGTGCCACGTCCAGTCCTCCCTTGGACACCTCCAGGGATGAGGACTCCACTGCCTCCCTGGGCAGCCCCTTTCAGTGCCTGATGACCCTTTCCATGCAGAAATTCCTCCTGAACGGTCACCTACCACTCTCCAAGAGAGATCTCCTTTCCCTTGGTGATGTCAAAGCCTCCTCTCTTCATCATGGCTTTCTGAAAGGAATACTGGCAAC